CCTAAAATACTGTGTTTCATTACAGCATTTTAACTGATTATAAACTGCAGCCGCATGTGCTGATTTTATTCACAAACAATTAAACTCCAGGAGAAACATGTGTTTGTATAAATGCACACATAAAAGTGTGTATGCATTTAAATTCTTTTAAAAATGTCATTGCTTTGCACATTTTTATGGTAAATACTGATGTGTTGTTTTTATGAAGGCATGCAATTTTATTTTAGAGGAAATTAAATCTCAGTATGGCACGTGTTTGGTTATGACATTGCTTCAGTGACATTGATGTGAAGATGAGCTCTCAGCACTTTCCCAGAGTCACCCTCCACCTGCTCCTTTGAGCCCCTGATGGAGGATCATTGAGCATGTGGCGGCCCACATCCCTCATTGTCTGTTTGAGCTCTTCCATTGGCTCCAAACTGTGAGAAACTCCAACAAGCTCAAGCCTCACACATTCATATGGAGATTTGGGAGTATAAATAGAGGAGCTGCAGCCAGTGCAAATCAGCCTCACTCTGAACAGAGAGATCTACAGCACAGAGATCCAGACATGACACCTACAATCATCTCAAAGGAGCTTCTCCCTCTCAACAACAAGGTACATTCACATCCTACTTACAGCAGCATTACTGCAGCAGCTTTCACGGCTCTTCTCAATCACTGGTTTATTCGAAGGCCACTTTCCTGATGCTTTTCTGTCTTCATTTGCAGATGAGAAAGCCGATGGTGGAGAAGATGTGCAGAGATCGTATCAACAGCAGCATCGAGCAGCTCAAGTGTCTTCTGTCTCCAGAGTTTCTCAAGCAGCAGCCTGATTCCAAGCTGGAGGAAGCAGATATCCTGGAGATGATGCTCAACTTCCTGTAACGCCACAATTCCAGTTCACATGCTGTCAATCAAGGCTTCTCCAGGTGTGTCGGTGAGATTGTGCACTTCCTGTCCAAAGATGAGATGAAGACACAGAGCAGAGTGTGTCTGCTGAAGCACTTCCAGAAGCTGCAGATATCATGTGAGCAGAACAGGAGGGAAAGTGTCCTGCCAGACCAGAAGACCTTCAGCAAAGACATGAATGTCAACAAGAGCGCCATCTGGAGGATTTAGTAGAGCCTTAAAGACTCAGACTAAACGTCTACACTTGACTCAGTGGACTATTATTTTTAAGTTTTCTTTTTTGAGGAAAAGTGTTTATTAAATTCTTATTTGGAATTTTTTGATGTAAAGTATTTTATGATACAGTGATAACTCTGCTTCACTTTACTTTGCATTAGATGTTATGCATTTGGATGTATAATGTGCAAGGCATTTATTCAGCTGTTTGAATACTTCCAACTTCATGTGATTCAACGTGTTTAAAAACATTTCTGTTATAGAAAGAATTAAATTTCCCATCTATTTTGATGGACTGTCTATTACTTATTTCAAGTAATATCAATTTGTGCTTCACAATGAAGGTAGATTTCATTTTAACCTCATAATGAGTCTTTGAGTAAATTGTTATTTCTCATTGTTTGAGCATATTTGGACAAATCTTGTCAGTTTATAAGGTTTTAAACAGTTCCTTTTTGGAACAAGTTTGTTTAATGTACCCTTTCCTTTTATAAAGGCATGTATTGTGATGAAAACTACGTTTTCAAGGACTCACTTGTATTGTATCAATACACGTGTGTATTTGACATTGCATGTGTAATGTGCAAAACATCTGTTTTCTCATTAGAGATCTAATAAATCAAATTGCTTTTCAATCCACTTTTGCTTTTCACTGGTATTCACATTTATGAGCACAACATTTTTAATGCAAGGAATGTTTAATAAGTAATATCAGCTACAACATGTTAAAACAAGTTGGATTAAATAACAAAAACACGCCTTTACAAAAGGCATCGATTAGATTTGAGACTAAAACTCAAATGACAGGATTTTCTGATGATGTTATGCTTGTCATACACCAGGGGTGTCAAACTCAGTTCCTGGAGGGCCAGAGCCCGGCAGAGTTTTGTTCCGACACACATACCATGTAGTTTTCAAATAAGCCTGAAGGACTTGATTAGTTGGTGTTTAATTACTGTTGAATCTAAACTCTGCAGGGCTCCGGCCCTCCAGGAATTGAGTTTGACACCCCTGCCATACACTTTAGACAGTTCTCTAACTCAGTGGTTCCTCGCGTACCACCGCTCTGCATATTGCCATGATTCCAGTTTGAAGGGAGCATCTATGTTCCATTCAAAGGGCATTAAAGTGTATGAGACGTGAATTTAAGTTGTATTTATTTACAGAGGTATATTATGTCACACTTCACACATCTCTAGTAAGTTTCATCTGTGTGTGAAGACGCTGCAGGCCATGGCATAGCGCAAATCTGTGAATGAATGTTCCGAAGTGAATGGATTTCCAGGGAGTAGGGAGCAAAGAACACTGTATAGGGACCATGTCAATCGGAACACAGTTCATGCATGGAGCTCTGATCTGAATCAGGTGTGTTAAATAAGAGACATGCAAAATATGCAGAGCGGTGGTACCCGAGGACTGGAATTAACTAGATTAAATCCAAAAGAGCATGCAAATGTTACATTAAAGGGGTGCTATTATGCTTTTTCACTTTTTCAACTTTAGTTAGTCTGTAATGTTGCTGTTTGAGCATAAAAAAGATCTGCAAAGTTACAAAGCTCAAAGTCAAAAGGAGATATTTTATTTAACAGAAATCACTTTTCAAAAACTACAACGAACAACTCGTTTGGACTAACAACGTAGACAATGCGTATTTGACGCGTTGTCTACGCGTGAAATACGCGTGTTTAACGCGTTGTTGACGCGTTAAAATTCACGTGTTTTTGACCGTTTTGGCCTTCCATACTCCTGCAAGCACTGCGAGAATCCGCACGCATAGCAGGAATTGGCGCGCTATTTAAAAAAAAATCGACGGTCAGCTCCAGAATAACGGCTTTGCCTTTGTCTAGTGTAACAAGCCGCCGCTCGGACATCCACACGGATTGAAATAATTCTCTCGAATGTTCGATACTGCGTTTGATTCGGTCTCTCCGCATCTTTTCCACAAGAATCTTTCGAAACTGCGTAGAAAGAGGAAGAAAACGGTAACGTTTCAGTGGAAATGAGTGTTTAACGCGTTGTTGACGCGTTAAAATTCACGTGTTTTTGACTGTTCTGGCCTTCCATACTCCTGCAAGCACTGCGAGAATCCGCACGCATAGCAGGAATTGGCGCGCTATTTTAAAAAAAATCGACGGTCAGCTCCAGAATAACGGCTTTGCCTTTGTCTAGTGTAACAAGCCGCCGCTCGGACATCCACACGGATTGAAATAATTCTCTCGAATGTTCGATACTGCGTTTGATTCGGTCTCTCCGCATCTTTTCCACAAGAATCTTTCGAAACTGCGTAGAAAGAGGAAGAAAACGGTAACGTTTCAGTGGAAATGAGGTCAGGTTAAAATAAAGATCTGAAAGGTCATATTACACTTACTTTGTAGTTCTCAGGACACAATATGCTCTCACAGCCTTGGTTTTGACTGACCGGTGCCATTATGTAAAGATTGAAATGCAAAAAGTGTGTAAATATAAGGATGAGGTATACCGGAGCTAACGGTTATTAGCTCAGGTTACCGCTTTCTCACACTGCCAGCCAATCAGAGACGAGCACGAGCCGTGGGCTTTAAAGTCGAGACGGCACTTTTAATAGCGGCCGAGCTTGCTTCCTCTCCCGCTGTGGGAAAACACTGGCACGGGCCACTAAAAGTGTGCCTGACTCCTGCGAGCATGTCCAGCAGTGCTGACAAGACCAACAAGTCGGTGTGAGGCATGAATGACTTTGACAGAAAAACTAGATGGTGGTTTTACCATCTTTTATGTAGTAGGAGATACTTCCTTTTCAAATTTGTTTTGAAAGAATCTTTTTATGGTGCTTCTACCTAGTTTGTAGAAGGAAGCGGGTTTCACAATGTGAAAGTCTAATCTTCTACAGGTGATTATATTCTGATCAGAGGTTTATTGTAACACACCTCTATAGTTTTCCTCATGGATTGATAGTAATTTGTATAAATCTTCACAATGAAGAGTCGATAAACATCTGTTTAACTCCTGTGGAGTCAAAGTAATTATTTGCAATATTTGATATGCAAATGTAATGGTTTCTTCTTATGAAAGATGTATTTCTAATATATAGTGGCATATGTTAATTGTGCAATCATACTGTCACATACAAATAAACAACTTTTAAAAATAAACATTCCTGCTTTCCTTTTATTAATCGAAACAAATGCTTTGTGCTGCATATGATTAATGGACCTTTGATATTTAAACAATGTTTTTAACAAACCTTCACCACACTTAGTCAAAGTTGTCAAGTGGTCTCAATTTCAGCTAATGGGAGTCCATTTACACTTAATGGTCAAAGAATAGCCCAAAATGACAACAAAAAGTCCCAAAATTATGTTACATTCATGCATTTGGCATACACTTTTATCCAAAGTGACTTACATGGCATTTAAGGTACACTCTCAAAAAAAAAAAAAGGCACAAAACCTGGTACTGGGGCACTGTCACCTTTCAAAAGGTACTTATATGCAACCTTTAGGGGTAAAAAAGCACCGTTTTATGATGTGCAAAAAGCCTGATATTATCCAGTCAGCCAGTCATTATTGCAAACTAAACTCCTTTTCATTATTATGCAATAATGAAAAATGAATTATCCCTTAAACTACTTTGACCTATTAAATGAGTATAAAACCACATGCCAGCTGCTAAAACTTTAGCATCATCTGTATTTGTCCCATGTGCCCTCATTTTTAATATCTTCATGCCTCTTAAGCATTTTTTAAATCATGCCATAAGTGGCATGCATTAAACTAGACTCGGCTGAGTTTGAGTTGAGTGTGTGAGAAAAAGCGCAGGGACTTAATGTTCGTGTTTGTACTTTGAAACCCTTGATAATAGGTGCTGTGTGCTGTCAGCTCTGGTTTCATCAGACAGCTGGTGTGGCCGATGGAGGGGGGCCGCGTCGCCCATCGAGTGTGGGGCTGGCTTCTCCCAGGATTTCCCACACCCGTGACTCTGGCTCCCATTTCAGATCCGACATTAAGGAAGTGTGCCGTGCTAAATCATCCATTAGGTATGGTGGTGTGAATCCTGACCCGTCCCTGCTACTGCCCATAATTCAAACCTGAGCCCCCTGGGAAACAGCTATTCACTTGTTGTTTGAGTCTACTTGTTGCAAACTTGAAGTGGCGTATTGTTATGGGTCATGTGAGTTTTAAAAGTTCTTTATGCTTTAGAAACTATTTTCTACAATGTTGTAATCTGACGTTAGAACAATTAACAATGACAAACATTAAAAAAAATGATATAAATAAATGAAAACATTTATAAAAATACAACAAAATAAATAACCATGATAGGCTAGCTATGCATTGAGTATTCCATCTAAAGTATTTAATTTAAATAAAATATTATAAAATTAAATGCAATTGGTGTAGAAACAAATTTCACTCAGAAATTGCTGGAAGATTTCACAATTGCAAAGTAAAAGCAAGTAATGCATTGAATTAAACATTTTTTTTTTTTTAAAGTAGAAAGACTGAAATTTTCTTGTAAAATGTACAGTAATCTTTTTATGTTTTATTGACAACTTTGAAAAATTATCTTTTTACAATGTATAACATAACCC